CTTTCTGCTATTTTAGTGGCGGCACTGCACACAATGGAGTGCGTGATGATTGGTGAATAGTGATTATCTAATAAATTGGAAAAGAAAGGTACTGCAAAAAAAAATTCTTTGAATTGAAATAATTAAAAGAACAAAATACAAGAAAATGTCTGAATTAGATTATTGTAACTCCAATATTCTTTTGTTAAAACTATTGAAGGTTTCATCAAAATGTTATGACTTTCGAAAATTTGGCACTAATTCTGCCACTAAGCCAAATGGACATTTTCTTTTACTCTAAAGTATGGACCTCAGGGGTAGTAAAAAGGAAAAAAAATATTCACCTCGATATTTATATTAAGATACATTAATTTATTATAGTCAATTAATAAATTAATGCGTGAATACTAATTAATTAATTACATTTAAGTAATATAAATGTATATAAATAAGATATAAAAATTATTTATTAATTTATTGTAAACTTTAAGATGCAACAACAAATTTAACTCCAGACATAAAATATGCAGAGGCGGGGTCAGGATTTGGAACTTATGGATTCAGTATTCTAATTCTTTTGAATTACTAGATTTTAAATTAATAATTTATGGTTAATTCAATAACTTTTTAAGACAAATACAGAGTTGGACAAAAGTTATTGGGTTCAACCGAACCCGTATACGAAGGGCTACCTCCGCCCCTGGTTTGGGGGGGGGGGGGAGAAGAGGTGCTATATTTTAGTGGGAATTGTTGGTGGGGGGATGAAAGTGACTGTACATATTGTCATGGTTCTTCTTGTGATAGCAATTGTGCTTTGAGTATTCATTCCTCAGATTTTTTTCTAGTCTATATTAAATGAGTAATACTAGTAGTCTTATGTAACGCAAATTCAAATTAGTTAAAGCCCTAATATAAATATTGGATGTCGAATAAAATACTAAAAAAATGAGCAATGTTTAATCTGACATTGACATCAAATTAATTTGATTGAAATACTTCAGAATATTCCATTAGGAATTTAGAATAAAAATCTGGTCATAAACTGAAAGGCATAAATGGTTGTTAGAGTATCCCTATGTGAAAATTTTGGCAGTCCCTATAGTCAATATCACAATTCAAATCATAATATTACAACTTTGAAATTAATCACAAGAAAAGATTCTTGACCAATTGAGTTATTTTTAAGTTAATAAATTAGAAGAAGTTCATGTTCAGGGTAAAATAATTCCTATGGAACCAACTCACATGGTTTTGTTGAGGTATCTTTGGATTTCATTTATTTATTAATTAATTAAGAATTGACAAGCGTACGATTTTTGGGGAAACGCAGTTACATTTCTTTCATATCACATCATGGAAAAAGAATTGGCACAAAAATAGTGAAAAATCCTCTAATGAGGCCAAAATTTCTAAACTTCATATCTCCTAGCATTTACGCACGTTTTAATTCAACAAGCATTCCTAATTAGACTAATAAAAAAAATTTAACTTATGAAACAATTTATATTTCTCGAATAATAAATACAACCACCAAAGGTTATGGTGAAACACTTTTATCCAAAAAATCTTGGGTACGGGCCTTAAGAACAGAGAACGGAATTTCCTGATATGAAGAGTTTTACCCATCAGTGGACTTATTCGACGCGAATTCGTATTAGACGAGTCAATAATATCTAAAATAATTAAATCAGAAGAAAATAAACGTAAAAACAAGCATGCAATCGATATTTAAAGTTAATACATGCATGCAAAACACCAATTTACCCTTGAGACAATACATTTATTCAATAATTTATATATAATCAATAAATCAAACTTGAAGCCAGGTAGATATCATTGGAGTAGTAATTAAAAGTCCTTTTTCATTTAATTTCCTCTTCTTCTTTTTTTCTTTTCTTTTTTGTCTTGTGATAAGAAAAATTACTCATTGACAATGGAAATCTTCATTTATATCCACTTGCTAAAAGATAAAAGAAGAAATGCGCTGTTCCTTTTTCACCTTTATCTCACCTTCTTTACTCTTTTCTTGATTCTCTCAACCAACAAACCCATGTAAATTGGGAAGAATAATATCCCTATTTCAAGTACATTTTCAGAAGAAAATGCAATAGCAGGGTAGGGGCGAATAAAGTACAATTATATTCATTGCTTTTTTATTAGGAAAAAGGTCAAATTCGCCTCCATACTATTTTAAATTGTTTAATTCTACCTCGTGTTCTATATTTGACTCATTCGGACCCCCAACCGTTAGTATATTAACAAAGCTTCTACGTGAAAGGGGTCTAAATTTATCTTTAAAATAGCGCACAGGTTAGCCAGTTTTTGGACTGGTCATTCAAAAATAGTTGGTGTTTGCCAAGTCATTAAAAAATAGCTATTATTTTGCTGCAACAGAGATAGGTCCAGCATAATATACTGGAGTTCGAGTATACTTTGCTGGAACTCTAATATATTTCCAGTATATTATACTGGAATTCCAGTAAATTATGTTGGAGTATTTTCCGGATTTTGAACAGTGTTTTTGTTCAGATTTGTCTTTACATGAAAAGTGGCTAAATTTCGATGACTTTTGAAACTGTGACTATTTTTGAATGACCACTTGTAAATCTGGATATTTTTGAATTTCTCCCAAATATATCCCACAAGTTTTGACTATGTTTTAAAATTACTTTCAAATTGGAACTTCGTTGGGAGTCGAGAGCAAAAATAAAATATTTTCTTAACAACGAGGTTAATATTAAATTCAAAGTTTAATAGAGTCAAAATTGCTCAAATTCAAATAGTAGAAGGATAAATTTGATCCATGTTTCATTTTTATTATAGTGAAAGCGAAGCGAGCATATTATAAATTGAACTTTACTTGTACATAGTTTAATTTGAAAAAGTAGAAAAAAGTTAAATTCATTAGAAAAGATGAATAAATATAGTAGCAAAGAGTCGTTCTTTTTAGTGTGGTCCAAATAGATGCCTTATGAGTTGTGACACAAAATAATTGCACATAAATTATGAGTTGTACTCTCTATAGCGACCATTTCACATGAATAATGCATTTGACGTTAACTCTTATATACATGTATATACCAAACAAAGGTATACTCGTCTTATAAATTTCATATTTAAATTCTTTGTTAATTTTTTTTTTCAAATGCACAAAAAGTACAGTGTGGTTACGACTCTTGAACGGCAAAATATAGATTAAGTTTTGACAATGAGGAATCTAATTCTCTGCCTTTTCATGGGCATCCTTTCAGATTTTTCTTACTTCTCTTCTTTTCTAACTATAAGCATTCAAGCAGACGTGAAGTCATAATTTAAACTTTATGGGTTTTAAATTCTACAATACTGGTATCAGGTTTTAGTAACTAGGTTCTGAATTTAACTTTTGTACATATTTAGAGGGTGTTTGGATTGACTTTTAATCTGGTCAAATCAACTTTTAAGCTCTTTTTAGTTTTTTTCAGTGTTTGGCAAAGCCAAATAGCAAAACCAAATGGCAAATCCAAAAAGTGCTTAAAATAAATTTAAAACTACTTAAACAAGCCAAAAGCAATAAGCTAAGCAACCCCTAACTTGTTGCTTTTTGGCTTAAAAGTTCTTTCTGCTGAACATTTTTTTTAAGCCAATCCAAATGAGCTCTTAATAAATTCCTTAATCTAGAAACATAGTTTGAACTAAAGCTATTGGGTTCGGTGCATCGGCTTTTATAACCTATACCAAAATGTTTAGTAGTAGCAAATGTTACAATTTTACAAAGTGGTTGTCGGAGATTCCTTCTTTTATACATCTTTTCCTTAAGTCATTTTTTCTTTTTAACTATAGGAGATCTTTTAGAATTTGAACTCTGATCCAAAGTGGTTCAGGAATCTCACTTAGTATTACGTATGAGTAAATATTACGATTGTGAGAAAAAAGAAAATAAGCCATTAGAATTATAATTCCTACCTACAACTTTCTCGCATTTTTTTTGTCTTGGCTCTACTTTTATGAGGTATACGTCTACGATTCATATTTTCCCCTTATTACCCCTTTTGATTTTGTGAGGTTCCTTAACTTCTAAAACTTTATGTGGTATGATACGTAATTCTCCAAATGGACCCAAGCTTTATTGGGAAGAGGCACCGGTAAAACTAGAAATTTCTTAAAGGCGCTTAAGGGTGTTCAAGATTATTGCTGCCAAACTAGAAATTTCTTGAACGTGCTTAAGGGTGTTCAAGATTATTTAAAAGGTAACATTGTTTACTTTTCCTAACTTATATACACCCTTCGCTGAGTGAAGCTCCGTCCCTTGGGCTGGGGCTGGGGGTGGTTGGGTGAAGAATGAGAAAGGTAGAGTCAAATTTGTACATCTTTATCACATTTACCTGTCAAACGCAAAGCTATTTCTCTAACAAACTCCTAAAGGTTAGGCATGCTGAATTGTTGGACAGTTGAGTTACGTGATTATGATTGATACCATTTTTCTTGGTATACTACTTTGATGTTGCTGTCCATGCCTCTCATACACCAAATACCTTCCAACCAATTTGATATGAGGCCTGGACAATAATTATAACTGCATCTTTCATCACCAATATTCAAGTTTATGCCTCGTTATACGCCCAAAAAATAAATTTAAAAAAAAAAGAGACTGATAATTGACATCGCGTTATGAATTACAACTTTCTCAATGTTTCGGAGTGGGACTTCCCAGCACAAACCTAGATTAGTCGGGCTGCAAAGCAGGTATGGTACACTGACCAGGAAACAAATAAAAAATCTACCAAAACGCCTTCCACCTTTTCTAAATTCTCCTCCCTAACGACTTATAAGTCAACCTTAACCCCTAAAAGAAAAGAAAATTCAAGGGGGAAAAAAAGTGAAGGTCTCAACTTGAGAGCCCCTCCCCATTTGAAAGACCAGTTAGCTTTTTATTCTGACCCCCTATTGTTTGTTGCTTCCGTGGCGCGTAGAGTCAAAATCCTTTTTGCCTGACCCCTGAGAAAAACGAAATGTAAAAAGTAAAAGAGGAAAAGAAAAAAGAATAAGAAGAAACACATAATCTATTCATCAATCATGTTTTTGCCCCAAAGTTTAAGCCAAGGCAATATGGTTTCCAGAAATTTTCAATGTTTCTAAAGTTTCTAAGCAATGACGGAATGTGTCAACGTCCAGATGTTATGCAAGTTCCGTGGAATATGAACACTTCAACATTTGAATTGACGTGGAAAAATCAATTCCTTTCTACAAATTTGTTGAAGTCCTTGAGCACCATTCTGCATCACTTTTAATCAGATACATACACCTGCAAGTGTCATATTGTGCCCTCATCAAGAATAACTCTTCCTTTTGCCCAAAGCCGAGACATATATACAGTGACCCGTGCATTTGAGTGAATTTTCTAATGGTTGCTGCACATTTTGTTGAGGTCTTGACATATACTTATCTTGGTAGTGAAGCGCTCCCCCCTCCCCCCGCCCAAACTCCTAGGTTCACTAAGATTCAAGTACAACTCCATGCTCTAACAGCTCAGATAAAACACTTCTCATTTTATCCACTGAAACAGGTTTTAGAATAACTCCATCCATACCAACTCTCATGCAGTTTTCCTTAGTTACTCTGTCCGTGTTCCCTGTTAACGCCACAATAAGTGGCCTGCCATGATGTTTCCCAAACCTTTCATGAATCAGTACGGCAACTTCATAACAGTCTATACCTGGCATGCTAACATCCATGAACACTACCTTGTGTTCCTGAGTAACAACTCTCAAGCACTCATCACGTGAGCCAACTGTTGTTACATCACATCCAAGGTGTGCGAGCAGACCCTTAGTTACCATCCTGCTAACCCTGCATGAAAGAGTAAAAAGACAAACAATTCTGATAGTTAATGTCATAACCAATCATATAACCAGGTTGGAAAACAAAAAAGGGAAACTATGATCAACATCTTAAAAGGAGAATTGCAGGATCGCCACTTATACAAATTTCCATTCGGCAATAAAACAACTGGCCTTCAGTTTATCACTCATACAAATTTCCATCCGGTAATAGAACTGGCCTTCAATTTATCATTACCTAGGGTTAAAAAATTAACAGCAGTCATCACAAGAGAAAAGTGAAAGGCAGGCGGGAAAAAGGAGGATACAAAGAAAAAGAGAAGGAACTCTATAACTGGCTCGGGTCTCCCATTTACTATTATTATCGCAACAGAATATTTTGCAAGAGCAGTATGTTCGTCTTCTCAGGAATAGGTTCCAAAAGAACTAGAGAAAAGTGGTTTCCACCTTCCTACTTTCCTTTTGAAAGGGAAGACCTAGCACTATAACTCTGGTTTTGCTGACAATGCAAGACCAAATCTCGTGCCTTCAGTTACATACAGGACTAGGCACCTAATCAAGAGATCATTGACAAGCCAAACAAGGGCATGCTTTGCGGCCAGCCCAGAACTACAGAAGCAAGAGGAACCAAAACCCAATGATAATGATCTTTACACAAATAATACATGAACATCTTGCAAGGAAAGGTTAATAATATCCATAACAATCCCCATCTTCTCTTCTTTCTTTGCCCTTTGAGGGAGGTGGAAAAGAGGTTTGTAGTTTCATTTTTAGAGGGGTTTCATGTAGGACAATCGACAAGCTACTCTTCGAGATTACCACACTTTCATTTCTTACTTTAAAGAAGTCTGAGGAAAGAAATATTAAGGCAATCAGATTGACTATGACACCCCTTATTTCAATGCATATGTAACAAAGACTTGAATTAAGACATTTATGTAGCCACTTTCTCCTCCATCTTCTTTTTCTTTTTTGGATAACCGTGGTGTCCGGACCAACTTGCACACACCTTGACTAATTCCACCGGATACCTGCTACCTCCCACCAGCATAGGTACCAGATAACTCTGTCCAGCAAGACTTGGACAGATGAGAAGATACACCTATTTTCTTTTTGCCTTCGCTAGGATTTAAACCTGAGACATCATGGTTCTTAACACACATCCTTTTCCTCCATCTTCTTATGCCTTGAAAGGACAATATTTCCTTTTATTGGATTCAAAAGTACTACTTGCTAGTTGGTCACTCCTTTCTTCCAACTAGAAATAATGATGTGAGTCCCAAGGGGAAGGCAGATCATGTCTCCTTCCCTTCTCTCGATCCTACTACCATAAGCCCATCAGTTCACCACCTATCCTCATTTTCGTTACAAAAAGGCATATACTCCTAAGTACACGGGCCAACAAACCCACATCCATAAATAGTTGTTAGGATTCTAAGGCCTATACTCCTAAGTACATGGCGCCAGTACACCCACATCCACATATAGTTGTTAGGATTCTAACTTCCTTACTCTTACGAAGACTCAGCAGATGCCCCGGATCTTCAAAAGTGATATCTATGATTACCTCTTGTTAAGTATTTACATGTTCAGTCTCACGTAAGATGGATCAAGACATACAAGGTAGAGAAACTCATGACTGATATAGAGCATTAAACAGCATGACAAGACAAGAACTGGAGATAAAGAGGCCAGAAATTCATTACTCACCCATTATCATCCATAACCAAAACTTTTAGTCCTTGAAAAGTCATCTGCATGTGATTTGCTGGCAATTTGGCCACAAATGGGAGCTTAGATTCATTGGAGCGTCCAGGAATGCCAAGTTTAATAATAAATATAGCAGTGGATCCCTTGCCAAGACCTTCACTTTCAATCCAAATATGTCCTTCCATAAGATTTACAAACCTGTTTTCCAGCCCATTAGAAGATGTGTCAGACAATAATCACCAATGCAAGTAACTCCACATTTATTTCCAGTAAGTGCGTCAACAAATATGCAAGTAACTCCACATTTATTTCCACTAAGTGCATGAACAAATACTAAATGCAATAAGAGAACAGAAATTCAATTTGAAGTAGTTACCAAGTTCACATAGCAAAAAAGAAAAACTCGGAAAAGACTACACCAAGAACTGAGGTACCTCTTACAAATTGCAAGGCCAAGCCCAGTGCCACCAGAATTTGTAGAAGCTAGCGCTTGGCTTTGTGTAAACTTGCTAAACAGGTTGGGAATATCCTGGGGATTAATTCCTATCCCGGTATCTTTTACCTAAACTACAGAAGATAGTAGTGAGAATAACAAATATATCAAGAATTAATCATTTGACAGTACAAGTATAAACTGTCAAATTTGCAACTATCCTTAACCTATAAAAAAACAAGTATATCAAGCTTGTAAAAATTATACCTGTACACGTAAATAAAAGTGATTTTCACTAGCCACAGCAAAAAACTCGGGGGCTCTAGGATCTCTTAAAGAATCTGATTTTGCAACAAAAGCAGAAATTGACACGCTGCCTTCCTTTGAGAACTTTACAGCATTGCCGACGATGTTTAATAGAATTTGCATTAACCGTTGTTCATCCCCAATTACATATTCTGGTAAATCTGAAGACAAACTAAGTGTGACGAACAGCTTTTTCACAGATGCAATAGGCTTGATTAAGTTAAGGACCTACAGCAATAAGCAGACACATAAATCAGTCAGTGACGTCCAGCAAAACATAGTGAACTGCAAAATATCAGTAATGTATTAAACAGATCTACAAGTCTNTGGGAGTTCTCATTTCATGATTCATAACAGCCAAGAAATCATTACGTGCACGAACAGCCATTTCTGCTTCTCTTCTTGCCAGATCAAGAGCCACATTCTGCTCCATAAGAAGATCCCTACCCCTCATCGATTCTTCTAAAATTGCAGCATGTGAGAGAGCAACAGCAACCTGAATTGACAACGCGTAGATTAAATCACACTGGGCACTCAAGATTGGCTCTTAGTTGATTAAATAGGCGTATACACACCTAAAACTAGTTGCAACCAGACACTAACAGCTAGAACAGAGTATTTTCCTATGTCTAGAAGTATAACAACAACAACAACCCAGTATAATCCCACTAGTGGGGTCTGGGGAGGGTAGTGTGTACGTAGACCTTACCCCTACCCTGGGGTAGAGAGGCTGTTTCCGATAGACCCTCGGCTACATCCCTCCAAGAACTCCCCACCTTGCTCTTGTTGTTGTTTTTAGAAAATGCCTAGAAATATTTGTGATCCTCTCATAGGATATAATATTTAATAGAACTATGAAGTGCATATATTGTTATTTACTTTAAATAATGGTTTGTGTCATTACTATCTTATCAAATGTTATTGAAACGCGTTACTCTTTTTTCTTCCATATTCATACATGTCAGGATCTATTAAACTCTTATAGGCGATTCCGATTTTTGTCTCTGATTCCGATTTTGAGATCGAGGCCAAGTTGATTGAGTTGTGTTTTCCATCAATATCCGTTGGAAATCCAGGAATCAGAGACAAAGATAATAATTCTTAAGTATGGAGAAAAAGTAAAAATTCCTGAATATCGTACAATGTAAACAGCAATAACAGTAAAACTTGGACACGTCGCCTGTAAATGAAAAAATATCATGATTATTTAATGAGTCAAGCTAAGACTAGGCTTGCCACTTGCTAGTGAGCTAAATTACATTCGAGAACAGTGCATTACCAGGGACAGAATGAAAAAGTTAAGTTTCTAAGTTTCTGATGAAGAAGTAAGATGCCAGATATGTAACTTTTTGAAACAGCTCTGTTGAAAAATCATTTTTGTAGCAACTCAGTAGTATTTACTTTTATACACTTAAATACATTACCCCAGAAGTGATTCACTTCACATGATAGAAGTACTTAAAAAACTACATATAATAAATTTTATGTACCAAGAAAGGACTACTCAATTAATTCAGAATGGCAGTTCCTAATATTTTTATATACCATAGATCCTACTTCCTATGCTTCTAATACAGTATGTCAGCTATGAAAGCAAAATCCAGTGGGAGTTAAGGTCCTAGCAGAAAATCTACTAAAATACACTCAATAAACACATCCACAGCCAGCTTAACTATTCACTCACCGGAAAGCAATCAACAGATGAAAGATATATATAGTCATAATTCACCTGCTGATTCATCTTTGAAAATATTTATAATAACAATTTTACTAATAAAAATTCAGCTCTGCAATTCCAATTTTTAATACCAATAATACAAATAACAACTCAGCTATGCAATTCCTGTTGCAGATTATCAGAGGATATCTCAGATTTTTGTAATTGGTCTTCTCCCTATCTGTTATTTGACAAAATGTTGACCTGAGATGAGTTTAAATGGAGAAACATGGTTAGCGAGGATTCATCTGGTCAACCCCAACCCTAACTTGTTTGGGATTAGTTGTTGTTGTCTTCTCCATATCTAATTTCACACCCAAAACTCAGTATGTCCACATGGTTGTGCGCAATCCATACTCGTACAAAGAGAAACTACAAAATATTACATGAAGGAACTTCCAATAGAAAAATCAAACCTGATCAGCTACCACTTCAACAAGTTCCAGCTCATGGACATGCCATTGTCTTGCACTGTCTGAAGGAAGCATCAAAACCATTAAAGCATAGCGCTTTGTTGAAAGTTCAGGCCAATCATTAATCTGAAAGTTTGAGAGATGCAGAAGCGGAACCCTGACAGCAACCACCTCACCAGGCATGTATTTCCCAGTAGGTCGAAGTTTTGCAACAGGAGAATTTGGTGATATTTGTACGGCACGGTTTGTACTGAAAACTTGGTTGATTACAGGAAGTTGTATAGGTACAGTCAGTCCAACTGGATTTTGATGACGTAGAGTGTAAGAAAGTTGAAGCTCTACTCCAGTACGTGTTGGCATCCACAATGCACACTCTTCTAAGGCCAATGTTCTTCCTAGCTCAACCAGTGTAGTCTTTAGAATAGTATGTCTATCAAGAGTGCTTCGGATTTCATGAGTTAGCATTCTAACATGTCTACCAGTCTCCTCTTGAGTGCGAATAATACCCATTTCACGATCAAGCTGTGCAGCTTTCTTTTTCAAGAATAGTTCCCTAGTTTTGACACTTAATAAATCAGGAATGATGTGGACAAGCATGAGCGCAGTTATACATGATACCAGCGCAGTCAAGACCTTTGCAGTAGTCATTACTATTGCCACATTCCTTGTATGCATATTAAATGTCCATAAGTTGATAAGATGTGTTGCTCCACAAAGAACTATGAAAGCACCAAACTGCACAAGAACCCATCTATATGGAAAAACAGCAGACTTCTTAACGAAGTATATCAACTCCACTGGAATGGAGAAATAAGCAAGTGCTATGAAAAAATCAGATATGTACTGATACTTCATTAGCAAGTCATCAGCAGGCAATTGTGGGTCGATGATGCAGTTACATGAATCCACGATGGAAGATAACTGCAGCAAAAATTAGGGCATAAGGTCATGAAAGAGAAGGAAATATGGCTCAGAAGAATAACAAGTTAAACAAGAATTAGACACTGAACATAACTGCAGCATAAGTTATGACATACTTTCGTGAAAAAGGAATTCTGCTTCAAATGAACAAGGTGAAGTAGAAACCAATAATAAAATATAACAGCTAAGTTAGTGTCAAATTATTGTGCTTAGAGTCAAATCATAGTGCCCTTAACACCAAAAGAAAACTAAATTGTGACTTTCATCTCTATGATACATACTTTTTGTAAGCCGCCTCTTTATTGATTTAATATGCCTAGATCTCTAAAAAGCTAAAAGCTAAAAGTGTTGGATGAATTCGGGGGTCTAAGTGTTTCTTTTTAATAATATCCTTTAGACAAGAATCATAGAATATATTGAAAAACATAACTCTCCTTCAGCAGTCTTGTTGGAAATGATAAGATTGTGTCCTAAACATGATCTAGTTCTTACAATGCAAATGCTACCCACAAATATTAGAAACTAGGGGTCTTCACCATCGTATCTTGGAAAAACGCTACACCAAGTACCCCGCATAATTTGTTTTGCATTTAAGGGATATACAGACAAGCTGAATAGGTGGGAAAATTAGTTGTAGAGGTTGAAAGAGAAATTATTTCCTATAGGTATCGTAAGTGGATCAAGGTTCATTGATGATATGGAACTTATTGATCTTCCTTTACATGGTGGACAGTTCACATGTTCAGACGGAATAATGAAGAATCAGCTTCAAGAATAGATAGATTTTTGGTTTCATGACAGTGGGATGATTCCTTCAAAGCCATCAAACAAACGGTGCTACCTAGGGTAGAGTCAGATCATTGTCCAATATTGTTGGAGTGTGGGGAATGGGAAAGAAGGAAGGAGTACTTTAAGTTTGAAAACATGTGGTCTGGACATGCTAATGTCCTGTCCACAGTGGAGAATTAGTGGAATTCTTATGAGTTCCAAGGCAAACCAGATGGGGTTCTAGCAAAAAAGCTCAGAAAGTTAAAAGAAGATTTAAAGAATTGGTACAAAGAATTTTTTGGTTACCTGGGAAGAAGAAAAGATCAGATTTTGCAACAATTGAAAAGAAGGGGGCAAAGTGATAATCAGAATAGTAACTTAGAGGAAGAAGAATCTAATAGAATAGCATTAACAAAGGAATACATGATATAGCCAAGGCAGGAGAGATACAACAACAACAACATACCCAGTAATATCCCACACCGTGGGGTCTGGACAGGAGAGATACATTGGAGACAAAATTCCAGATTTTTATCGATCAACCAGAGGTAAAACACTAGATTTTTTCACAAAATAGCAAATTCAAGCATGAGATATAATTGGATAGACAAGCTACAAATTGATGGGGAATTCACTGAAGATAAAGTACGATTAAAAATCACATCCTTGAGTTCTAAAAAGATCGTTTTCCAGAGAAGGAGAATTGGAGACCTTCATGGATATGCCCTGAGCTTGCTATGATCAGTGACCAGAAGAAAGAATGGTTGGAGAGACCTTGATGAAGCTGAGGCAACAAGAGTTATTAATATGGTGGAAGGGGATAAGCCACCTGGTCCGGATGGCTTTAATATGAGTTTCTTTAAGAAATGTTGGTATATTGTGAAAGAAGATGTTCTGAAGACATTTGAGGTGTTTTACAAGGAAGGAGAATTTGTTAAAAGCTAGAATTCTACCTTCATTGCTTTAATTCCAAAGAAGAAAGGGGCTGTCAACATCAAGGAATTCAGACCTATTAGTCTGCTTGGGAGCATAAACAAGTTGATAGCTAATGTTCTCACTGAGAGAATGAAGCTTGTAATATAAAAATTGGTATTTGTAAATCAGAATGCTTTTATGAAAGACAGGCAAATAGCAGATGCAACACTTTTGGCAAATGAATGCAATGACTCCTATTGGAAAAGGAAATTGTTTGGAGTGGTGTTTAAACTAGACTTGGAAAAGACTTATGATCATGTCAACTGGCCTTGTATGTTGAAGATGCCGGAGAAGATGAATTTTGGAGGAAGATGGATTCAATGGATATAATTCTGTTTTTCCACTGCTAAGTTCTCAATTCTTATCAATGGTAGTCCAGTAGGGCATTTTAATTCCCAAAAAGGCATGAGACAAGGGGACCCACTATCTCCTTAATTTGTTTCTTTTAGTGATGGAGGTTTTGAGTCAGATGATCAAAATTGCTGTGAGAAGAGACTGGATAAAAGGCTTTAAAATGGAGGGTCATTCAGGAAACTTTATAGAAGTCTCTTATAGCTTTATGTTGATGATACAAGATACATTGTTAATGTGTGGGGCTGAAAGAGAATAAGTGCTGCATTTGAGAGTGGTTTTGCTGGCTTTTGAAGCAGTAACATGACTGAAAATCGACTAGGCCAAGAGTTTAATGTTTTCTTTGAATGCTAACAGTAATGTAAATATGCAGGCTGATACTATGGGTTGCAAAGTTGAAAATTTTCCTACCACCTATCTAGGATTGCCTTTAGGTGCAAAATTCAAAAATAAATCTGTATGGAATGGAGTTGTTGAGAAGTGTGAAAAGAAGTTGGCTTGTTGGAAGCAACATTACTTATCATTTGGGGGCAGACTGACATTATTAAATAGTATCCTTGATGGCATACCAACCTATCTAATGTCCCCGATCCCTATGCCAGCTAGTGCGGAGAAGAAAATTGATAAAATCAAAAGGCAATTCTTATGGGAATGTAACGAAAAAGGAGGAAATATCATTTAGTAAGGTGGAGCATTGTGACAAAACATAAGAAGGAAGAGGGGCTGGGAGTTAGAAATTTAAGAGCTCATAATTAGAGTTTGGTTTGTAAATGGCTATGGAGGTTAAATGATGGGAAAGATGCTCCCTGAAAAGAATTGATTGAGGTGATATATGGGAAAGAAGATTTCTGGGCACCCAAGGCAGTAAAGACTCCATGGAGTAGCTGTTTGGAGACAAATCAGTAATCTCTGAGAGGAATTCAATAAGTAATGGGAAGGTGGGTAATGGGAAAAAGATCAGATTTTGGAAAGACAATTGGGATGGTTTTGGTTTGTTGAAAGACCAATTTCCCAACCTGTACAAATTGGCTTACAATCCTGATGTAATCTTGGTTGATATATTTACCGATACATGATGGAACTACTAGTTTAGAAGTAATCTCTTTGATAGGGAAATGCAGGGAGTTGATAAATTTATACAGACGATGCAATTAGTAGAATTACTGCCAGATAAAAAGGATTGCTTATTCTAGAAAGCTAGTAGAATTACTGTCAGTTCATTTTATAAAATCCTCAATGCTGCTCAATCAATGCAAGCACAGAAGTGGCCTTGGAAGATGATCTGGAAGACTATAGTCCCAACAAAAATGGCATGTCTTTGTTGGTTAGTGTCTCATGAAGCATGTCTGACTCAAGAAAATCTGATGGAAAGGGGTTGGATCATGTGCAGTAGATGCTACTTGTGTGAAAAGGATAGTGAAACTGTGAATCATATTTTTGTGCACTGTGAATTTGATCCGGAAGACTAGTCCCAACAAAAGTGGCATGTCTTTGCTGGTTAGTGTCTAATGAAGCATATTTGACTCAAGAAAATCTGATGAGAAGGGGTTGGATCATGTGCAGTAGATGCTACTTGTGTGAAAAGGCTTGTGAAACTGTGAATCGTATTTTTGTGCACTGTGAATTTACTAGGCAGGTATAGACCATGTTCGTGGCTGACTTTGGCATCCATTGGTGAAGCCCTATGAAGTTCAGGAGTGTGCTGTAGTGCTGGGAATCCGCATGTCTAGAAGCATCCCTAAAGAAGATCTAGAGAGGTATTCCTCCTAGCATTGCTTGGACTATATGGAATGAAAAAAATAGAGGATGTTTTGATGGCAAATAGGAGCAGCTGCAGTCTGTTAAATATAATTTCTTACATTCAGTATTACTGGAGAGATGGAAAATGTTGTGCTGAATTTTACATAACATGCTGGACATGCTTGATTGCTTAGGGTTTTAATGTTCTTCAACTAGCTTTCTCTATGTAATTTCACAGTATCAGCTTGATGATATTTTCTGTTTTGTAAGACCTTTCCTTATAATTTAAAAATAAAATAAAAAAAGCCTCTCAACTA